CACTGGTAGTTTTGAACTATTAACCTTGAAGTTAGCAGTCTGACTTGTAAATACTACACTACCAGAGCTCCTTAGTAGGTGTTATGAATATAACTCCCTCTCCATACGATAAACACTGGATTGTGAACCATAAGGTCAGCGGTTCGAACTCACCAGCTACACCATGAGAGACAGCTGAGGCTCTCTGCTCCCACAAAGATTTACAGCCTTGGAAACCCTATACAGGGTGGCTATGAATTGGAACCGACTCCATGGCACCTAACTACCATCACCACCTTTTTATAGGTAAGGGCAATCGTGAAATAAAGCGTTAACATGGAATTAACAAATAAGTCACATGAACCTCGAAGTCAGTTTGGAAAGTGTGTTAGTGTGTATGTGATTATGAAGGACATCAACAGGAACAGACTGCTCTTCAAAGGTCCCTGAAGATGAAAAGAAACTGGAATGACTTGCATTGTATTCCCAGCCAAATGCAAGCCTAAACTCTTCCTAAGAACTGTTAGTATCTGAGGGTTTTGCATGAGACCTTAGCTACATTTCCATTGTGATATTTATACCCTGCTCACAAAAGTTATACACAATGAGGCACCAGGACCTGTGATTATGGGGGCCCAAGTGGTGATGTGGGGTGTCTCAATACAGAGTTTGACTCATTTAAGGCAAGAAGTTTTAGTGGCTCTAGCCAGCCGCGCTCTAGGTGGCCATCCCAGGTGTCTTTGGGAGTACAAGGTTATCTTCCCTGCACGGCCCAAAGCACTGAGAGATGTTGGGAAGCTGGACTAGGTCACAGCAATGGTGGGAAAGAATATGATTGTTGTGTTGGGTTGAGGTTGTACAGAAGAGAATCCAGGCCCTAAGACCAGGCTGGTTTTCTCCCCTCCTGCCCAGCGCAATCAACACTTGCTGTTCTGGCTTTTAACTAGTTCCGCTGGGTACCAGCAGCAGGGAGGCCAGGTAGATTCAGGAAAGATAGATTTGACCTGAATTCTTTACTTACAGTAGCAAAGAGTACAAGCTAAATAACGATCTCAAAACCTCATTGTTGTCTATTCGACTCCAACTCATAGCGACCCTACAGGATAGACCAGAAACTGCCCCCATAGGTTTCCAAGATGGCAAATCTTTACAGAAACAGACAACTTCATCTTTCTCCCTTGAAGTGGCTGGTGGGCTAGAACCACCCACCTTTCAGTCAGAAGCCCAATGATTTACCCACAGCACCACCAGGGGTCCTACATGATAGCAAGCAAGCAGAAAGAAAAGGGAGGCAGGAAAGGACAGAGTTTGAATCCCAGCAGAAGAGCCTGGACACCTGCTCAGTCCAGTCACTACCAGGTAAAGACTTCCTCCTCTCAGAGCTGCAAACTCCTGCACCTGTAAGATACTAGGACTGGCCCCAAAGCCTTTCACACGTATCTTCCAGCTCTAATGCTCCCATTTAAGTCGAAACCCATACTAACCACCTTCAAAATGATGTTTCAACACACGTTTACAAATGTGAGCAGTATGTGACAACATTTATATTGAGGATGTGACCGGCACAAATGATATCAGAAGACCGTTAGCAAAGGACTCACGGGGGAAGACTGTGGAAAGGCAAGTGGACTGCATTTGTCCCATCTCTACTACCGTGTCCATCTGAACTGTGGACAAGCAGAGCCGTGGAGTGCCCAGGAGAGCTGAAAACCCCCAAGTTCTTTTCTCCCTGACTTAGAAAAAATTAGACAAATTACAACTCATGTCAGGGTGGAAGAGACAACAGAGTTCACTCAATTGCGTTTCCTACTCTGGATACTGAACGTGGTTTGCATCTCCACATTACAAAGCAGCAGCCAAAGACGAGCATCATTTTGAGACTTGCTGGGGAACCAGTTGGGAATCAATTTTTGCTCTAGGTAATTGCCAAAGTTGATTACTCACCCTAAGGAGAGACTAAATTTCACAGGTCACAAAGCAAAATTAGGTTTCTCCCGGAACACAATATTTTGGAGCCTTAAACCTGAGCCTTGGGTGGCTTTCCTGTCAAAGAGTGTCGAGTATTTCGCAAGGGGTTCAAGCTCACTCATTTTCAACAAGCCATTTTGCAACGAAAACAAGAATGAGTTTTTTTTTTTTTTTTAAGCTTTTCATTTTCCATTTACATTTAGAAGATTGGAATACTCCCATCATTTCAGCCAAGATTCCAAGTATTACACTCTACCGCTAGTAACATTCATGCCCAAACTATGGGCAAGGCATTATTATGATAATCATCTCCTCAATTTTCACGAGTAGTATTTGAGCTGTTTGCTTTCTCAATATACAAAAACCCTAAGCCGTTTTCTGTAATTATACCAGATGCACTTTAAAGAGGGCTCTCCATTTTGAAAAAGAAAACAAGCTGCAACTACTAAAGTCTGTTTAGTTTCCCCCCTGGTTGTAATGCTGCTTCTCGTGGGGGCTCACAGCCTGCCATGGCTGGGCGAATTTGTTCAGCATATTTTATGCTGTAGCATTACCACATTGCTAAAGACAGAGAGGAAGGCCAGGCATGATTTGGGATCATTTAAAAGGTTTCAATGGTGCCACTCGGTTCAGAATGGAGTCCTGGTGTGGCACCGCAGGAAACTTAAGGTTGGTGGTTCAAACCCACCAGCTGCTCCTTGGAAATACTATTCAGGGTCCCTATGAGTTGGAACAGACTCACCAGCACTTAACAACAACACTCAATTCAGAAAATCAAATACTTAAAATGTGCTCCCATCCAATTGACCATGGGTAGGGCAAAAGCAACTTCCTTGTGTCTAAGAACAACTCTTTAAGCCCTGCCACCACCACCCGCCCCTAAGACCAGCTTCATGGGTACACAACCTATGAGTCACATAGGGGTCCAAGTTCAGAAGGGCCCCCCACTGAGTTTAGTACTCTGCTACCACCATCCTGAAATTCTTCATGTTGTTGTTGTTGTTGTTGGTAAATGCCACAGAGCCAGTTCAAAGCACCGCATTGGTGGTGATGGTGGTGGGCTGTCAAAGCGATTCTGACTCATAGCAACCTGTATAGAGTTTCTGAGGCAGTAAATAGTTATGGGAACAGAAAGCCTCATCTTTTTCCCATGGAGCAGCTAATGGATTCAAACTGCTGACTTTGCAGTTAGCAGCCCAACTTGTAACTGCTACGCTATCAGGGTTCCTTCATTTGTTGTTGCTGATAAGTGCCTTCAAGTCAGGTCCGACTCATAGCGTTCCTGTATAGGGTTCCCGAGGAGTGGCTGGTAAGTTTGAACTGCCAATTTTGTGGTTCAAACCAATCTTGAGGTGGAGTGCTTATCCTACAGTACCACACGAGGACTCCATAATTATGTATTGTTGTTGTTGTTAAGTGTTGTCAAGTCAGTTCCAACTCAAAGCAACCCTGTATAGGGTTTCCATTCCAAGGAATAGCAGGTGAGCTTGAACTGCTGTCCTTGTGGTTCAAATCGACCTTGCAGTCCAGCGCATTAACCTACAGCACTACATCCTTCAAAAAGTTTGTGGAAAAGTAGAACTATAAGATAACTGAATTTTTCCAAAAACTTTTTTTTTTAAACTTTTTATTGTGAATTACGTGTTAGTTTACATGGGTGAATCCATAAACTTTTGAAACTCCTTCATGGCCAGTCCTACTATCCCCTCCCCCATGCTAAAGCCTGGCTTATTATAAAGAACCCCCCCCTACTCCCAGCCTGGTGTGGCATTGTAGGATCAGCACTGGACTGTGAACCACAAGGTCCGCAGTTCAAACCCACCCACTGCTCCTCGGAAGCCCTATGCAGGGTTGCTATGAATGGAAACCGACTCGTTGGAACTCGACAACAAACCCCAGCCTGCCGGGCTGACCCACTCACAATCTCACTTGGCACACTTGATTCTTCAACTTTGTTTCTCTGTAATCCCACAACAGAATCGCATTCCACTTGGGTCTCCTGTAGTTGAACCAGTCTCAGACTCCCGGCCCTGTCCTCCCCGTTCACTGCCCTCCTGAGGCTCGCTCATGTGTTCATTTCTGTCCCTCAGCTTTGGCTTGGCTCATGTTTCGGTAGGATGCTCTCACTTCCTTCTCTAGCCTTGATTGCATTTCAACATCTGGAGTTGCACTGTCCTACCACACAGCAGCCTGCCACCATCTGCTCCCAGGCCCCAGCTCCCCTCTCCTTCCTCTGACGTCTTCCTGGGACTGCTTCATCTCCTCAACTTCCAGTTCTTTGGAACAAAATCTTCCATCTCATCCTGTGCTTTGAACCCCACATGCCAGGCATTGCTGGGCCATCTCAGCTGTCAAAGGATAAATACTGACTGGATGGTCACCAACAATGGGAAAATGAATAATCATTTCTTTTCATCCAGAATATACAGATTAATATAAAGCAGTTTGAATTAGGTGGACAAGGGCCTCTGTTTGCTTGTCCTTTGTATGTGTAGACAAAGGTAAGTGACAATCATCCTGCACATGACCTTAGCACCAGGTAAGGCATTTGCCTGCTCACCAATATCAGCCATCTTTTCCAACATTTCCCACCCAGCCATCTAATGGAGCCTCTACCATGGCAGTTCTACAGAAAACCATCCGGCTTTCTATAAGGAAGTTATCTTCTCTCCCAAAGCGAGTAAAGGTCATTTGGTACATGAAATTCAATGACAGTCTTGGTGTCGGCTGAGTCCTTATTCCCTAAGGGTTGTTTGGATAAAGGTACTTACGACTCGTCATTTAGACAAAACCAAGTTCTCTCACTTAGGCCGGTCCTCTTTATTCTGTCTTTTAAAAAATATTGTCTTGCTTTTCAAGTAACAGAGGGAGAAGTGACAACGTGGTACTAATGGAAGAGATCATGTTCAGTGAAAGACCGAGAGACCAGGGGGACCAGACTGGTCTCACCTACCACAGAGTTCAGATGCTGACCCATCAATAAAACCAGACTCCTACGGGGGAAAGGAGCTTGGAATGCTAGAAAACATTTGGACTACCAAAAGATCACCTACCTATTGGTCAGCAGTCCGATGAACGGGTTCGTGAGGAGCTGGACCGTGGCCTTAGAGGCGAACAGCAGACCCACTTGGACGTTTTCATTCAGGAGGTCTTTGTCTTCCCTGGGGCAGTCAGAAGGGGCAGTAGACGTGTTAGCTACCATATGCTGTGTGGTGGTCTTATGCAGTTGTACCAGTGGAGGGATTCCGGTGGCATTTCCAGTGGTCATGGTGGAGTGGTCATAATAGGAGAAAATGTTCTGAAAGCTGCCCGTGGTAGAGGGTGTGAGCCCTGGCTTGGTGGTCTGGATTTCCGTGGTGTTTTTCTCGTGTTCGATGCTGTACAAGTAACTAGGAATGATGGGTACTGGGGATGAGGAGAACAGGAAGTGGTGATCAGCCTGAACGTGCCCCCAGCACTAAAACTAGCAAAGTACCGTCACATCAAATGGCAAACAAGGTCCAGAGAAGAGACATGTATCACCAAAAATGAGACCCCCCTGGTCTGCTGACAGCATTGATGTAGGAACAAGTTCCCATTAGTTCACCAAATAGCACAAAAGCCCAGGGAGCAGTAGATGTTCTGTCTAGTCTCAGGAGCAGCTACTTTGCCAATTACCCCAGTCCCAGAGATGTTGTTCGTTTCCTTTCATTTGTGGAGTTTATCATTACAGGACTCCTTCAACAGGAATACGGGGGATGTGGCCAAGTCAGTTCTGACCTGAGGTCAACGTGCCTTCATAGAAAGAGAGGCTCAAGACATTCAGAAGAATGAATCAAGGAAACAGAAACTGAAATTTTATTATGTGCCTCAGAAAATAGTAATCAGCAGGAAGTCATCATTGAGAAATTCAGCAAAAGGCTCAGACTTCTATTTCATGAGTGGATATCTGCATTTTTCATGCAACCTGGTTGAGTTAAGAATTCCTAACAGCCCCAGTAGTGTAGTGGATTATGACCTGAGCTGCTAACCAGCTGCAAGCTACCAGTCATTCCATAGGAGAAAAAGGAGGCTTTCTGCTCCCGTAAAGATGTACAGCCTTGGAAACCCTGCATAAGGTCGTTATGAGGCGTATCTGACTCAGTGGCACGCAACAACCACCACCACCACCACTTTCAAAAAGGACAAGCAAGATCCTTTAATGCTCTGGAAGCTCTGTGATAACAGAGCATTAATGACAAAGGAGAAATGAGACCTTTGCCACTGGGCAGGGCCAGCCACTCAGCTCTAGACACACCTTTCAGGGAAAACCTATTTGCTGCTCTGAAAACAGTGTCTGAAGTAACCGTACAAATGGGAGCCATTCTTAGAGCACAAACCCACCGGGTACCCAAATGAGAAATGATTTTTCATTGATTAAAAATTGAGGTCCTTTTAAGGAAAATAATGCCAAACACATACTTTTCTGCTCAGGGAGCTAATTAAGTTCTGGCTATCAATTATTGAGTTTAAAAAAAACTATTATATGCAATGGTTGAAACCAACACTTCAAATTGCTCTTGAGATAGGTTCTAAAATGTTTCACTCTGAAATCATTCTCCAACAGAATTTTTTTTTTTTTTTTTTGGAGGGAGGGCTGTTAATGGGTTTCTTTGTTACGTTGAATTAACTCACCTTTGGGGCAGGATAGTAATAATCAATATAACATTATTCTGAACTCTAGGAATTGCTTCTCCTTTATAGAAATCTTTTTTCATAAAATAAAGAGGGCAGGGGAAGCAGGGTAGTATCAAGAGGAACCATACGTTCTGAGTCTTATCGGATGTCACATTTTGACGTGACCACCAGGAAAGAAAACCACAAGCCCAACTCCTACAAACCCAGCGAGGCAGAGGGGGACGCATTCCTGCAGCGCCTGTTCAACTTTAGGAGCTGCCGTTTGCGCTAGGGGAAGGGGAGCGCCCGCGGCATCTGCCCACAGTCGGGGGCACCCAGCCCATACGTACCCACGACAGTGAGAAGCATGTTGTCCAGCAGCAGCGCGAGGAACACGATGAACAGGATGATCTTCCGCGAGTGGCGGCTCTCCTGAAGCCAGCGGAACCGCGCCAGCTCGCTCAGGGACATGGCTCAGGAGCTGGCTGCGGGCGCAGCGTGTGGTGAGGAGCCACAGAGGGGCTGGGGACACCCCTGCGCCCGACCCCCAATACCCAACTGAAGAAGGGACAGCCTGAGGGCCCACGGAGAGCGGCCGGGAACTGCCCCACCCTCAGCTCACTTGCCCCGCGCGCGCCCCTAAGTGAGCCGTCGGGTACCGAACCTGCGGCTCACGAGCTCCCACTTCTCCGTCTGTTTCTTCGGAGTGCTCGGGAAGCGCTGGGAGACACCTCGGACTGCGCGTCCTGCGCCCTGGCTTTTTGGAGCCACCCCGGAAACCCGTGTGCGGAGCTTTGGGGACCCTCCCTGCCCTCCCGGGGCCTCGCTAGGCTCCTCACCCGGGCTTTTCCTCTAACTCGTGCCCCGCCGGCCGGGAGCAGGTCACCCGTTACCTCGGGGTCGCCTGCCGACGCGGCTACTGGAGTCCTCCTCCGTGCCCGCGCCACCGCCCGTCCGGGTGGCTCCGGGTCTCAGTCTCCGCCCCGAGCGCCCGGCGGTCGATTACGGGGTCCAGCCCTGACGTCACGGCCAGCACGGAGCTGGGCGGGGGGCTGGGACGCCCCGGCTTCCGCCCACCTTCGCTGTCGCTGGCAGGGGTGGGGCAGCCGCCTGGGTGACGGCGCGCCTCCTGCCCTCTGTGCGCCCCCAAATCCCGCGCTCCCTCCACCAAACGCAGGGGTGCCCAGACTGCTGCGTGCCACGGCGCCCTGAACACAGACCCTGTCCGGGGCCCCGCGCGTGGCTGCGCACTATGGGTGGAAGAGGCAGGGGTGCAGAGTGAGGGGACAGGGGTCCAGAAGTCAGGGACCCTAGTGCTCTTCTGGCCCCCAGTCCCGATCAGAGCAGTTTGAGCCCAATCATGTGGCCTATGAATTTATGAAGACGTCGGAGCGAGTGGGCTGGACAAAGGAAGAGGGTGTTGGGACTCAAACAGAACCCCTCTTTCCTGAAGAGAGGCCCCTTGCCTACCAGTGTCTCCAACTTCTGCTGTCTGACTCGGAGTGCGCCTTCGGGGTGATGTGGAAAAGGGGAAAGGCGACACCTCTCAGCATCGCTCCACCATGGGAGTACGGAGCCCAGATCTCGGAAAGTGGAAGCAATGTCCTCCATCCCCACTCCTGGGCCTCTAGGGCCACAAGGACCACCTTGCGGAGGGGCACCCGGTGGGAAAGGCTCAGGGGCACCCCGTGGAAAAGGCTCAGGGGCAATTGTCCCCAGACCCTTGATGCTGCACACACCTCCCCATGCTAGACCAATGGGTGAGGGACAGGGTAAAAGATTTGGTTAAGGGTGACAACAAACCTTGTTTGTGGTTGATCACAGCTGTCCCCCTCACTACTCAGTGGTAAGGGTCCACCTTTGATTTGCATGTCCCTTCATTTTATAATTGTTAGCACCACCCAGAGGCATCGTGGATGAAAAGTCTGGCTATCTACTCCAGAAAAATACAAACCAAAAACCAAGCCCACTGTTGGATCAGTAGCTCAGTAGATCCAACTAATAGCCCCCCTGTATAGGGTTTTCAAGGGGCAGTTGGTGGATTTGAACCTCCAACCTGTGGTTAGCAGTCCAGTGCTTACCCTACAGTGCCACACCAGTATAGTGTTTTGTTGTTGTTAAGAACTGCTGAGTAGGTTCTTACTCATGGCAACCCTGTATATGATTTCTGAGGAGGGGTTGGAGGGTTTGAACTGCTGACTTTATGGTTACCACTCCTGTGTTATAGGGTTTGTTGTTGTTAAGTGCCCTCAAAATTGTTCTGACTCATAGCGACCCTGTATAGGGTTTCCAAGGAGTGGCTAGTGGGTTTGAATTGCTGACCACATGGTTAGCAGTCTAGTGCTTATCCTACAGCAAGCACCTCACCAGGACTCTGACATACGGTTTGGTGGTAGTGGTGGTGTTTGTGTGCCGTGGAGTCAGTTCAGACTTATAGTGACCCCGAATAGGGTTTCCAAGGCTATAAATCTCTATAGGAACAACAACAACAAAAAAAACCCTCATCTTTCTTCCCCATGGAGCAACTGGTAGATTTGAACTGCTGACCTTGAAGTTAGCAGCCCAGCTTGCGACCCACTAGCTGCTAGGGCTCCTTGCTATAGGGTTTATTGGTCGTTTTAAGTGTTGTCGAGTCAGTTCTGTCTCATAGTTACTGTGTATAGGGTATAGGGTTTCCGAGAAGTGGTTGATGAGTTTGAACCACCAACCCTGAGGTTCAAACCAACTTTTGATTCCAGTGCCTATTCTACAGTGCCACAGGTTTGTTGTTGTTGTTGTTAAGTTCTGTCAAATCAGTTCCAACTCCTAGGGCCCTGTATAGGGTTTCTGAGAAGCAGCTGATGAGTTTGTACCACTGACCCTGTGGCTCAAACTGACCTTGCGGTCCAGCTCATTAATGCACATCGCCACACCAGGACTCCAAAAGTAAATCTTCATAGGCGCAGACAGCATCATCTTCCTCCCACAAAGCAGTTAGTTGATGGGTTTGCAGTGCAGATCTTTTGGGTAGGCCCAATGCCTAATCCACAGAGCCACCAGCGTTCCTGAAAACCGGCCATTGGAAACCTATGGAGCTCAGTTCTTCTCTGACACACATGGTAGAAATTGATTCCACAGCGAAGGTTTGTTTTCAGTTTATAAACAGGAAAAATCAATAGATGTGCTCAGACATAGTTGGAGCTCTGGGGGTCTTTCTAGGGCTTGAGGAGCAGAAGTCGTTTGCTGGGAAAGGTGCTTAGACTAAACGCTATCCTGTGGCAGCCTGTCCGCAGAACAGAGTCTGGCCTCGTTTTATTACCGTTGGCTTGTGTTCAGTTGGAGATGGCTCAGTGAAGCCGTGTGTGTTATGTGTTGGCCCCCACTCGCCTGACTTCTCACTTCCTGGTGTAATCCATGCTGCTCCTGGTGGATGAGAAAGATGGTTGAGTAAGCAAGTAGGTCAGTAACCCAAGGACTCTGGATGTCCGAGGATGTGTGCATCTTAAATACTAAACAGGACAGAGAGAAGGCAAACCACTTGGGAGGGCCAGGCAGATGACAGGGGGCTGTTGAAGATGAACGGGAAGGGTCTCACCCTCATGAAGTGGCCCCAGGGGGCTCCTGCTGGAGCCTCAGAGTCTGGAGATGCACTCCTACCGCTTGACAGTGAAGGGCTCCTGTCAGGATGCTGGGGCCCAGCCCGCCATATCCTTACTCAGCAGCCTTGGACAGATTCTTATCTTTTCTGTGCCTTTTTTTCTCCATTTCTGAAATGGGGGTGTAAAGGGACCAACTGCACTTATATTTGTTGTGAGGCTGTGAGAGAGATGCACAGGTGCTGCTTAGCACAGAGATTGGCCATTCCTTCCTTCCATGAATATTTATGGAGTGCCTGCCATGTGCCAATCACTGTAATAGATACTGGGGGTGGGGGGAGACACAGTAATGACTCAAAGAGGTGCAATCCCTGTCCTCAAGGTGCTTGCATTCTGTTAACAACATCATAACATGGATACAGGAAGCCACACCAAACCCTGCATAGGGTTCCCAAGGAGCAGCTGGTGGATTTGAACTGCCAACCTTGTGGTTAACAGTCCAATGCTGATCCTACAGCGCCACACCAGGACTCCTCACTTGATAATAGAGCTTTCAATTACGTAAAACAAAAGCAGATAGGAAGAATTAAAGGGAGAAGTAGACAATTCCACAATTATAGTTGGAAAATGAGTACCCTTCTCAACAACTGATAGAACATTTAGACCAAAAAAAAAAAAGGGAGACATATAAGATCTGATACTGTCACCATACCGTGACATTTATGAACATTTCACTCAGTGGCATCACCAGGGTTGATAGAACCCAGTGTGGTAATTCCTGGTTAACCCATCCTCCACCCCCACGGACCTCCTCCTGTATCACACCAGACAGAATCATTACGTAATGTTTGTTATCAATTTTAATCATAGACTAATATGTGATAAATATAGTTCTAAATTGCTTAAATGTAATATTTATTAAATTATATTAATACTAACTACATTGTTTTGTAAAATCTTTCTGTATTGAATTACAATATGATGACTAATTAAGTGGAAGCTTAAAAAAATGTTTCCCTTTAATTCAGACTTCATTCTCCAACAAAGTTATTGATAGAGGTTCACAGATACTATTTATCACCATTATTGTTGTTGTTAAATGCTATCGAATCAGTTCCAAGTCATAGCCACCCTGGCTAGATTGTCTGAAGAGCGGCTGGTGGGTTTGAGCCACCAACCTTGTGATTCAAACCAACCTTGTGGTCCAGTGCATTATCCTGCAGGGCCACACCGGGACTCCATTTACCACAATACTGTAGCTAAAACACCAGAAAACATGACAAAATCATCAACTATAAAAAACATCAGCAACAAAACAATAGCACACGCTTATAGCACGCACTCATGAAACCAAGGGATCAGAATTGTGTAGTAATGATAGCTCCAACCTGTGCATGTTAGAAGGTTTAGGAAGCAAATTAGCATAGAATTTTAGCCTCGTAGGTACATTAATACTGTGGTGGTGGGTGGTTTTGTGCCGTGGAGTCGGTTCCGACTCATAACAAGCCTGCATAGGATTTCTGAGGCTATAAATCTTTACAGGAGCAGAAAGCCTCATCTTTCTCTCGTGGAACGGCTGGTAGGTTCAAACTGCTGACCTTGAGGTTCGCAGCCCGACTCATAACCATTATGCTACCAGAGTTCCTTGTATTAATTCCAGGAGTGACAAATTAAAGAGGTATAGCAAAAGACCACTTTAAGATCTATCCTGAAGCATTACACTGCCAGGCATAGTATCCATATGCCTACAAGAAAGACCACATAACATAACTATGATTCAAATGTATGCACCAACCACTAATGTTAAGATGAAAAAATTGAAGACGTTTACTAACTTCTGCAGTGTAAAATTGATCAAGTATGTAGTCACAATACATTGATAACCACCGATTGAAATGCCAAAGTTGGAAACAAACAAACATCGTTAGCTAGAAAATAATGGCTTCGGTGATAGAAAAAAAGCTGGAGACAGCATGACCGAATTTTGCAAGACCAATGACTTATTCATTGCAAATATCTTTTCCAACATTGTAAATGGCGACTTTATATGTAGACCTCATTGGATGGAATACACATGAATCAAATTGACCACATCTGTGGAAATCGATGATGAACAAGCTCAACAACATCATTCAAAATGGAAACAGACTAGCAGGTGCTTGTAAGCAAGTCCAGGTTGAGGCTGAAGAAAATTAAAAGAAGCCCAAGAGAGTCCAAATACAACTTTGAGTGTATCCCACCTGGATTTAGAGACCATCTCAAGACTAGACTTGACACATTGAACATGAAGGACTGAAGATGGAAAAACTGGGGTGGGGGGGGTGACATTCAGGACATCAGGCATGAAGAAAACAAAAGGTCATTAAAAGACAGGGAAG